GCCTTTCTCTTTCTGTTGATTCTTCCCTATGGCCCAGCAACTCGTGCTAGCTTCTCCCATATTAAAGATGTTGCAAGCAGCACCTCCCCCTCCCTCAGCTTCCCATCTTCCTTTACCGTATCTGAGCGAAAGGAGCATCTCAGAAGAAAGGGGACACCTGCACACAGCACTGCTCGTTCTCCACTCGCTCCTTCCCTCACCGCCTTCAGATTCCCCCCTCAGCCCCCAGCCGTCAGTTATTCCAGTTATTCACTCAGCAAAGCCTGCTGACGTCCCACTCCTGAGCTGGGCCCGAGAAGCATCTCTGTGCCCCTCATCGTCTTCGCCCTCTCTGGTCCTCTGGTCCACAGGAGTGGCCAGTGGGCAGTGGCCCTGGCCCTGGGGCATGTGCACAGCCGCACATTTCCCCCCAACTTAGCTTTCGCTTTAATGAAGCTATTCTAATTGTTCTCATTTACAACAAACAGTTCCCAACTCTACAATAGTGTCCATCTGCTTTGCTCTACAGCGCTTGTTTTTACTGGCTTAACTAACCTATTGCGTTATTTTTGTTAATTAGTCAAAGCTGCTTGACCATGACAATGTCAAATATTTGAAGAAAATCCTGGATGAGTTGGAGAAAGTCTTGGATCAGGTGGAAACTGAGCTGCAAAGAAGAAACGAAGAAACCCCAGGTAGGTTCTCATTTGTATTCCTTTTTCCTGGACACCAGGAGTCTTTATGGGAACAGCCTTAGATTTCAGTAACAATGCTCTTTCATTATTTTCATGGACAGTTTGAATTCAGTAAACAATCCTGAGAAGCTGAGAGCCTCCATGCCGGAGGAGGTATTAGATATTTCCTTTGGTTTAGGGAAACAATAGGTGAGCTTTAGGAATATCCACAAAGTCGGGGCTGAAATGTCACTCGGTGAGTGCTGCTCTCAGTCACTATGGGAAGTGTAACAGAGTCCCTATGCGAAGCAAGTTTCAGCTAACGGGGTCCTCAACTTTGTTGTCAACTGGAATAGCACCCTGGATGTGGCCAGCATGCTTGCACCTGAGCCCTGGCTGCATGGCTAAGTCAGGTGCACAGGTACAGTGCGTGGATGCTCCCCAGTCGGCCTGCACGTCTGCACGTGCTGGCCCCACTTCATACTTGACTGCTGATGAGAAGTTGTCCCCCTGCCTAAGGAAAGAATTAGAGGGAACATTCAAGCACCTGCTCAGGTTATTCAACTAAACTAACTGCTGTAATGACACGTTTGTGAGACGGGCGAGGTTGGAATTCCACAATCATAATCTAAATTGTGCAGAAAAATCCTTCAGGGGTCCGATTTCACGTCGATGCAGACTGACCGACAATTAGATACCAGGGCTTTGCTAAATTCAGTGTTATTGTTGCTATCCTCAATGATAGATAGGCTTTGAGCTCAAATGACCCCGGTTTCACTTAGGGACCGAGGTGGCTGGCAGATGTTAAGTCTCCCTGAGCTTGGGATATGTATGCATGGACTTGGTTTTTAGCATAAAATTACTCGCCGAGTAGGATTGCCAGGAAGATGTACCGTGGCCTTCATCTCCTGCTGTCCTCACACCTGCCCTCAAGACTGAGACGCAAGATACCAGGTAGAGTCTGCCTGTGTGCCTAGGCATGGCCCTAACTCTCCGTGTCTCTTTCTCTAATCAGAAGAAGGTCGCCAGCCCTGGCTCTGTGGAGAGTCCTTCACCCTGGCCGACGTCTCGCTTGCTGTCACCCTGCATCGCCTGAAGTTCTTGGGGTTTGCGAGGAGAAACTGGGGAAATGGAAAGCGACCCAACTTGGAAACCTATTACGAGCGTGTCTTGAAGAGGAAAACATTTAACAAGGTTTTAGGGCATGTCAACAATATCTTAATCTCCGCGGTGCTGCCCACAGCACTCCGGGTGGCCAGGAAGAGGGCCCCCAAAGTTCTTGGCACCACCCTTGTGGTTGGTTTGCTCGCAGGGGTGGGTTATTTTGCTTTCATGCTGTTCAGAAAGAGATTTGGAAACCTGGTATTAATAATTAGACCCAGACCAAGTTATTTCTAGGCTTGCGGGGATCCGGTGGTGGCAACTCACCCTACCATTTAGCTCAGCCTTGTCCACCCTGCCAGGCCCAGGGAAGAATGACCCTGGGCAACCAGCACAAACCATATCTTACTTTACTCTTTGGGTAGTTGATGTCAGGGAGGTGGCAATGAACATGACGGGGCTGGTAATGTTACGATTACTGACTTGCAAACCTAAACTAATCTCTCCTTAAAACATGCGCAGGGTCCAGGTATGTTAATGCTGATAGGTAGAGAATAGTCCTTGACCTCAAAATGCCAGTTTAGGTTCTGATTTTATTTTTTTTTGGGGGGAGGTTATTATTACAAGCAGACAGTAATAATAACCCGAGGTTGCCCATAGCTCTTTATCTGAGACTATCTTGATATGCTGAGTGCTGAGTAGTTAGCAGTATTTGCCCCTGGAATTTCGACGTCATATTTGTTACACAGCATGGGGTTCAGACAGCAGCAGGGTGCAGCAATGCTCCATGCTAGCACAGCTGGCTTCAGGCAGAAATAAGGGAGGCAAAGGGAAAAGGGAGAGGGAGAAAGGGAGAATGAAGTCTACGCTGTACAGAGCAGAGCAGTGGAGTTCAATTTCCAGGAGCCTCCAGAGCCACCCAGGGCTGCCTGTCCCCTAAGGAAACATTACTGTGACGACCTGTGCCCACTGCCCACACATCCTCCCGTAGCTGAGAACCTTGGGAAAATAAGGCCAAGGATTTATGAGGTGGAGTGGGCTGGAGAAAACCCAGGCTTTATATTTACAGCACCTCATTTGAATGCATATGAATCACGCTTACATCCATCGATTTAATAAGATGAACTGCTTATGTACTTTGGTGTGAGATGCCCACCCAAGCATGTCTGCCTAGCATTTACATGAAGATATGAAGTGACATAGAAAAGGTTCCTTTCTTTTCATGGTTCCCCAATTCGATGGTGCCTATGGACTGTTGTGTCCAGTCACCTGTGGCTGGGTAGTGGGTTTTGATGAGCTGGGAGTACTAACCCTGCCCATTCTGTATTTGGGAGGCTGGTGTGTTCATCCAAAAACTGTTGTCCAGGCCTTGCATCTGTTTATGATCATCAACAAATCTTTAGAAGGTTCCAGAGGAAGAGAAAGGTCTAGTCTTAGCCCTTGGCCGTTAATTTACAGGAAATGAAGTAAATGGCTAGGTAGGAATGTCACCAATATTCATTCATATACATCTGGGCATCTTGGGGGTGCCTCAGTCCACGTGGAAAGGACAATCCCAGTGTGTCCCACGAACAGCCATAGAGCTGCATCCGACAGTCTGGCTCAGGAGAAATCTTCCTTGGTGCCAGGCACACAGATGTGCTCTAGAGCTGGGCAGAAAGGCCTTGGGAGCGGTGTCAGGTCTCTGGCAGAGAGAATAAGGAGACAAGGGTCCAGGAGCAACATAAGCTTGCTTGGACGCCCCCCCATTGGCTGTGCAAGATAGCCAAAGACTGGACTGACTATATCTTTCATAGGAATCAGTCATTCCTAGGGAACAATGATTTTCTGATGGTCAAAGGCTTCTATAATTCCATTTCATGATCCAGTTGTTTCAGAAAAGCTTAATGAACTGGATGTTCTGTGTTTACAAAAAAATTAATAACATTTCCGGTATGAACTCAATCCAACAATCATTAATAGACAGGCAGCTTTTATACTAGTAATGTCTTAATTTTGCACCTCAGTGCACTGTTGTATAGAGTGAAATTTGTTGCTGGAACATTCCGATCCATGTACTCATAAAAGATCCACAAAACTGATTATTCAGTAGTTCGCAGTGTTATTTGTTACCTTATTAGGAGCAAGAACTCAGACATGAAAAAACCTAAATTGGATTTTTATGAAACTACAAAGGGTATTTATCAATGTGAGGGCTGTTCATTAAGAATAAAGATTAGAAGCCAGTGCTGGCTTTTCCTTAAATTTATGTCATTACTGAATCAGAGAAAATCTACTAGGAAGTGTCTGTAATTTTCCTATACAGTTTCATTGGAAATAAGCTTGTATCAATATTAAAGATGATGCATTTCGGACATTTCGCTTGTTTTATGACCACCCTTGAGATTATACTTTAAAAATGTCTGTTTAGGGGTATCATGGCCACTAGATGTCGCTGATCACCCAGCAGTCTGAGACTGGGCGTTCTTTAGGTTCAGCAAAGCCTTCTGAAATGTTTCAACTGAAGATAAACATGAATGATCTCAGTTTCCGAAATGAGGACATCTTCATCAAATCATTCATCTGTAGAAAAGCTTGAGGCACATGTGGTATTGATTTCTGGTGAATTGGAAGGGACAACACAATGTCAAGCTGAAGAGCTGAACACGTACTATCAGCAAGATCGGCACTTTTATGTGTTTCCTTTTTCATGATCATTGGTGCCTGGCCAATGTGCTCCTCAGTTTCCCAAATTTGTATAACTATCACAATTAGAAAAATGCCTGAGGTACTAAATTTATGATGGCTATTTGTGTCTTAATGCATAAATGCTATTTTATTGTTATTGCAATGATATGCCTTTGGAATCCCATTTCCTTAATTGCAGATAGTTGTAAATTGCTTGCTCAATTTTTAGTAGTTGTTGATATTGACCCAGAGTTGTAGATATTTTGGTGTTGTGGAATGTAATAGAGAGATCAAGATACTATTCTGCCTGTAAGATAAATAAAAATAATTGGAAAAGAAATATGTGCCCTGCAAGTACTAATTTTGTAATCTTTTTGAGAAAACAGATATGTTTGTTTCATTTAAAATCAAAGCATAATGTGGGAAATAGTAAAACAAGCAGAAGTTAGGTATTCAAGATATTTAGCAATAGAATGCCACATTCTCCTTATAACAAAAATTACCGACCCATGATTTATTTACATACACACAATTTTATGGTTAAAATGAATGGCAGCTTAAAGAATTACATATTGATCCTCATCATTAAAGGATCTCTTTTGTAGCCAGCCACCTCACAGTGGCTGTGATAAACAACGAGAAAATATTTTTTTTCAAAACAGTTTTGTTACATATTTACTGGGTTTCAAATGTGACTCTACTTATGATAGTTATGTCTATTTTGATATAGCTAATTCTTTTTCTTCTACTGACTTATACTTCTTCTTCTACTTAGATGATAAATATTCAAGTTACTATCCATATTTCTGGCCTTGGTAAGTTTCGGTATTATTCTAATCATCAAGTAGAAACTGAGTACTACTTTTGTTTTATATTGAGCAAAGCAAATTAAATGAAAATTAAATTGACCTTATTTTCCCTAAGTAGGCAAACACAAACAGAAAAAGGAGCAATTTTGAATACCCAGGAAATTCACATGCATATACAACTCTGTAGTCTTTTCAGAAACGAAAAGAGCACCATGGTAAAGACACAAAAATCAAATGAATGCAACAAATAATTTGGCATTTGGACATCACCTTCATTTTGTTCATGCCAAATATTTGGCCCATTTATATTCTCTCCACCATTCAAATCAGAATGTCTTAATATTTGGCCCATTTATATTCTCTCCACCATTCAAATCAGAATGTCTTGATTGTCCAATTCCCCAGAACACGTGTGTTTTACTAGGTAAGGTAGTAGTTTGAAGCCAAGTGAGGGAGTATAATTTCTAGAGTGAGGATGATAGTTTTAATTGTGTATTGCACAATGCAAATGAAGAGAGGGGGAGAGAAAGAGAACTCGCTTTGTGGAGGATTAGAAAGGCAGCGAGTGCATGATAAAAGCAATTCCCTGTATTTCTTGCTTTTTAGTGGAGCCCTGGGTTTTGACTTAGGAGGGAGGAAGGACTGTCACGTGGTTCAGAAGGTGTGGATGGGGTAGAGCAGGTGCTGAGGTACAAGACGACAAGGCCATGTGGAGCTTCCGACAAAACATGCTGATGATGGGCCTTGATGTACCCTGACTCAAGGAGGGTGGTGCATCTCAGTCATAGGGCCTTGTCATGAAACTCCTTTGGGAAGGTTAGAAGTTTCTGTCTTCAACCTTTCACTTTATTCAATATTTGTACACTGGCTCTATGATTACAGTATGTTGTCATTAAATTCCACTATTAGGAGAAACCAATGGTATGGGTGCAGATAAAAGATGTTAATGAAATGTAATGCAAAGGGTCAGGTTTCCATGCCAACAGCAATATTCACATCCATACGTACTAGCTAATTCCTAATCAGACAGGTGATTTTTTCAGACTTTTTTTCTGTATGTATAACTTTTTGTGTCATCAGATTAAGCTATCTTTTGAATTTAAGAATCTGATATTCAACGAAGTCAACCATAAACATCATCAACTATACATCATAGTCAAAATATGATGATATACTTTCAGAGATGCCACACTTAGTAAGTTCAATGCACAAAAGAAAGTAAAGGTTGACACTGAGAAAATAATATGAACTAAAAATCCGCCCATCAAAACCCAGCATCCTTAGAACACAACTATTTTAGACTCACCAGAGAGGTGCTCACCAGAGAGATTAGAATCCAAGTAGTGATGGAAGTCATTGGTGGTCCATTGCAGGCAGAGTGGACCATGCCCTAGTAAGGCCTAAGTTAGACCAGAGTTTTTAAGTTTTGGAATTATTGATATTTTGGTCCAGATAATTCTTATGTAGAGCTGTTTTGCATGTTGCAGGATATTTAGCAGCATCTCGGGCATGTACCCACTAAATGCCAGTAGCTCCCCCTTGATCTCCTATTGTGACAATCTGCAATGTCCTCAGGTATTGCCACATGTCGCCTAGGGAGAAAATCACCTCCAATTGAAGACCACTGCCCTGCACCCAGCTGAACAAAGCCAGAACCAAGTCCTGACAAGATCTGTAGGGGGGATGGATTTTGGAGGTGAAGTCCTGTCCATTAGCAGTACTTGGGAAACATCTCAGGTTTCTCCATATTCCCCATAACAAAGCATAAGAACAAACCTACACAATTGAGAGGTTATTAGCCACTAACTGAACAAGAATCAATACTCTTCAGAGGGAAGGCAACAGCTTTGGAGTCTTGCTAATGTATCACTAACAATATCCAGTACACAGTAAAGAAATGACCAGATGTGCAAAGACGCAGGAAAATAGGATCCACAGTCAATCAAAAAAGTAGAAAACAGAAACACATGTGATGTGATTCAAATGTTGGAGTTAGCAGACTTTAAAGCAGCTAAAGGACAAGATGTATTCATAGAATTAAAGGAAAATGTAGTCTGATGTCCACAGATCAGGAATCTCAGCAGATAAATAAAAAACATAAAAAGGAAGAGACTAACAGCTGTCAGAGGGAAGGGGGGTTGCAGGGCCAGGTGAAAAAGGTGATTAAGCAAAGACCAAAACCAACCAACCAACCAACCAACCAACCAACCAACCAACCAACCAACCAACCAAACACAGCTCACAGACATAGACAACACCATGGTGATTACCAGAGGGAAAGGAGAGTGGGGGAGGTAGAAGAAGGTAGAGGGGGGATAAATGGTGACAGAAGGAGACTTGACTTAGGGTGGTGAACACACAATGCAATATACAGATGAGGTACTGTAGAACTGTACACCTGAAACCCATATAATTTTATTAACCAATATCACCCCAATAAATTCAATACAAAAAAGAGACTCAAATGGAAAATCTAAAATAGAAAAGTACTGTAACCCAAGTGAACTAACCAATATCACCCCAATAAATTCAATACAAAAAAAGAGACTCAAACGGAAAATCTAAAATAGAAAAGTACTGTAACCCAAGTGAAAAACTCTTGTGCAGAGGCTTTACAGCAGACGGGAGATGGTAAAGGAAAGATAAAGGAACAGAACTGCAGAGACACATGGATATATCGACTCCTCTAATGTTCATGGTGGGCAAATGTCGGTTTACAGTTTGAGTATGTGAAACAGTTTATTGTATTATTATTTATTAATAATTGTATTATTTATTTGTGTTTCCATTGTAAACCTACTTTTGCCCACCCCTGTATGTGTTATAGGAGTCCTAGAAAGAGAGGAAAGTGAGAATGGGTAGGGAAAAAAAACGTAATTAAAGAATCCCAAATTTCTTCAAATTTGATTAAAAACGTTGACTTACAAACCCAAGAAAATTAGACTGCTGAAAACTAAAAAGAAGAACAACTTGAAAGCTGCCAGAGGGAGGAAAAAGACATAATATAAACGTGAACAATGTGAACATTTGCTGAGTTCCCATCAGAAACAGTGAATGTCAGAAGACAACAGAAATGTCTTTAAAGTGCTGATGGGGGAAATGCTTAGAATTCTACATCAGAGACAATACCCCTTAAAAATTGAGTGAAATAAAAACATTTTCAGATAAATGGAAGCCAAGAGGATTGGGTCCAGCAGGTCTGCAAAACAAAAAATGCTAAAGGCAGTTTTCAGATCGATGGAGGAATGATACTAGATGGAAACACAAATCCACAGAAATAAAAAAAAAAATTCCAGGAAAGGCAAATAAGTGGGTGGTATAAAATATTATTTTTATCACTTCATAGTTTCCTTAAGAGACAATTGGCTTAAAAACAAAATGAAATAATAGCATTGTAAGGTGTATGTCATAATATATGTAGATGTAAATATGTAACCAAAAAAGCACAAAAGTTGGGGGTGATGGATAAATGGAATTATACTATTGTAAGGCTATTAGCTTTGTGGAGTGTAATGTATGAAGTGTGAAGAGAACTGTGTCACGTGTAAAGTAACAAGTGGGAAGTAGTACAAGTGGGAAGTAGTAATTTTGATTCTGAATAGACTGATAAGTTAAGAATGCATTGTTAGTCCTGGAAGAACACTAAAAATTAATTTTTAAGAAGAGATAAGAAACAAATAGGAAGAATAGAAACAAAATACTAATGAAGGGTGCAACAGAATGAAAAAGCAGAAGAAATAAATGGAAAATAATTAACAAAGTGGTACACTTAAACATAGCACAGCAATAATTATCCTATATAATAAAAGCGTAACATGCAAATCGACCAAACGGTAGGGGGTGGGGCCAGTGAGCAGATGGCTCCAGGCCAGCCAAGGCATGTGCCAGTGGGCAGAGGGAGCTGTCCCCTGATTGGCCTGCTGGTCGCCTCTTGCAGAGGGAGGCCAGAGGGCCTAAGCCGTCAGTTGGACATCCCCTGAGGCTCCTGGACTGCAAGAGGATGCAGGCCGGGCTGAAGGACCCCCCTGAGTGCACGAATTTTCATGCACTAGGACTCTGGTATTAAATATAAATGTAATATAAATGATATTAAATGTAAAATGTTCCAGTTAAAGGTCAGGGATTTTGAGATTAGATAAAAATGCAAGATATAGTTATGTGAATCTATTAGAGATATTCTTTAAATGTAAAGTTATGCATAAATTTGAACATAGAGGAATGGAAAGTGTTATACCAGGGAACTGGCATAAGATAGATAGTGTGGCTATATTATTCCACAAAGTAGACTACCAAAAAGTAGACTTTATGACAAAGCATTTTAGAAGAGATATAGAGGGACATTTACAATCACAAAAGATCAATTCATTAGGAAGACATAATTATAAGCATATATGCATATAATAGGAAAGCTTCAAAATCTATGAAGTAAAAACTGACAGAACCAATGGAAAAAATAGTGGGGGAGCTTAACACCACTCTTTCAGTAATTCATAGAACAAGTAAATAAAAATTAGCTTGGATATAGAAGATC